CAGGATATTGTGTGGGACAGTTTCGAACGCTTTGCATGGATCCAGGTAGATGATGTTGGTTGCTCTTCTTTTGTCTACTAATGCAATGACCCCATAGTAGAAGGCCACCAAATTAGTCAGGCAAGATTTGCCCTTGGTGGCTGCTGTTGCCAATCACCCTTTTGTTTTCCATATGCCTTAGCAGAGCCTTCAGAAGGATCTGCTCCATGATCTTGCCTCTCACAGCGATGAGACTGACTGGTCTATATTTCCCTGTGTCTTCCTTTCTTCCCTTTTTGAAAATGGGGGTTATGTTTCCCAGTTATGTTTTCCAGTCAGTGGGAACTTCGCCAAACTGCCAAGACTTTTCATATACAATGGACAGAGGCTTTACACCTTCACTGGCCAGTTTATTCAGGAGCTGTGGATGAATCCTGGCAGGTCCCATGGACTTGTGCACCTTCAGGTCCTTCAGATGGTCACAAATGTGATCTTCTACAGTGGGGAGATCTCTTTTTGCCAGTCCTTGCCTTTGCCTTCTCTAACTTGGGTGGTGTGGACTTTGCCAGTGAGGACCAAGGCAAAGTAGTCTTTGGGTACTTCAGCCTTCTCTACGTCCTGCATGACCAGATCTGCAGTTTCCTTCTGAAATGTACCTACATTTTCCCTTGTTTTCCTCTTATTGCTGACATACCTGTGGAAACTTTTCTAGTTGCTCTTAACATTCCTGGCCAGATCCAATTGTCTCTCTGCTTTTGCCTTCCTTACCTAATCTCTTGCTTCTCTCACAAACTTATCTGAACTCCTCCCACAATATCTGTCCCTACTTCCACTCTCTGTGTACCTTGTTTTTACATTTAACTGTGTCTGTGAGCTCTTTGCTCATACACACAGGCCTGCTGGCACTCCTGCCTGCCTTCCTCTTCATTGGAGTTAGTGCCTAGTCATCACCTTTGTTGATTTGGTTCATGTATGGAACATAATAATGACTTTTCACTTTGTATTTATCTGATGATCACCTAATGAAACTTCTCGTATCACCAGCCCTGCTTGGGTATTGTGGGACTGTAACCTTAACAGTGATGATGCTGCTTCTGCCTGTATGGTGGTCTTACATCTCTTCTCTTGGGACATAAAATGACCTTCCCTTGCTCTTATTGCTCTCTGAAAAACTCAACATTTATGTCCTTACCACTAGGTTTTTCTAAGTTACTGCCATATTTTTCTTGAAGCTAGCATTGGTGGTAAATTCTGGTACAAAACTTAAATTTTTATCTGAAAGTACAATTCTTTTCCTAGAACAACTATGTGGGTTTTATACACTGGAAACTTGTGGCTGCAACTGGTGAAACTTAAATAACCTTAAAACAATAAAACACAATAGCTAGTTTTTCTTCAGTGAGTGAAGTTGCTGTAGAGAAATACCATTCTGATTCATTTCATTTGGACTATCTGTGGTGACTTGAGACTGAGTCAGGGTGGTCTTGCATAGGTACCACTAGACCCACAAAACCATCAACTTGTTAGCAGCTTTTTCTTGACTAACATGTGGTTTGTTTTCATCAGCCAGTCAGAACCTTAGAAAACAGTAATCTCAAAGCTCATTTTGATAATTTGTCTTTAGACAAAAACAGGTGCAGCAGCATGACACTGTAAGGATTTGCCCTTTTGTTCTAACTAACTGATGTGTACAGGAAAAATGTGTACAGGAAAATGTAAAAAACCCTAGACAGAGCACTTTCAGAACCAAGGGATCTAGGACTAGAAATCTATTCAAAGTTATATACCTCTGCCAAACTATCTGAACTTCCTCTAGCTAGTGTTGATAAAACCGTCTTTTTTACAGACAGCCAAAAGAAAGGCAGCAGAGAGCAGCAGGATTCCACATCCAGAGACACCTTTTTTTAATAAAATATCATGTGAGGTATGCCAAAATGAAGGTGGTGCTGAGTTCCAAAGCAAAATCAGAATGAAATGCAGCCCAGCCTGAAAGTTAGTGAGTGACGCTTTTTTACTTAAGTGAGCTGAACCCTTCTCAAATCCCATTAGCAGTACTGAGGCAATCATACAGCCCTGTACAGACAAGAGCAGGGAGATGTCATCCTAGAAATACAGTAGGTTTCATGGGAAATGTCATGGAGCTGCTTCTTCAAGAGTCAAGCTTCTGAGAACTCCATGTAGCTAGATCTCACCTACATCTGTTCATTAGGTTTCAAAGTGCCGGGCAGAAAGAACTAGCACGTCTGTAATCTTGCCTTTGTGTCTAGGACAACTGTCTTCCACTAGCTGTCTGCTGCCAATTAAATGCTGCCAACTTGCAGCAGGACGCTTCTTCGCTGCCAACGCACCGCTGGGAAAGCCGTGAGCCAACCAGCAGGTGGCACTTGTTCAGCGCCCTGAGCAGAACCGCCTTCAGCGCCGTGAACCTCAGAGCAGCAGGCAGCTCTGCTCACGGGGTGCGGGATTTTGCAAGGACACTGAGTATATATAGGGGAGTTCAAGTGTATGAGTTACACAGCTTGTAACAAGAAAAAAAAATAATATTTTAGGGACAGAAGAGTATTGAAGGTTTTCAAGTAGAAAAAAAACCTGAGTGTAAATAACATCTTCATTGGTCTTGCACAGTAACAATTTAATATGAAAAAACTTTGTGGTTTAGTTTCTTTTTAGAGTTTCTAAGTTCAAGTGTAACTATAGTGATCAAAATTAATAAGAAAGCATCTTTTAACTCTACTGATGGCAACAATTCAGCCTAGCTGTTCATAAATAATCTACAGTAACTACAGGGAAAAAATATTCTTTGGTTTAAAGTCTTGTATACTCATATTTGTCTGCACATATTATTTTATTGACTTATGTTTGATATCAGCTTTGTTAATGTTCTAGGCTAAAACTGTAGAAAAGAGCTTCCTAGAGTTTCATTAAAATAAAATTGTTTCACATATCACATATATATAATTATAAATACATTCCTGTAACCACATTGTTCCTGAAACTATTTTTCAGCTTCAGCTAAACAGCTTCAAAAGTTTGTAAAGAAAAGATAATAAGGATTTGTCTTTGGTTGCAAGTATATCTACAAAAGTAAAAAATGTTATAGCTATGGTTGAAGCCAATGTGTATCTTAGTTATGGAGGTTTAATAATGTTTGTTTCAAATCCTTTGTGTTTCTCTATGTAAAAGTCAAGGTACTTAAGTTTTAAAATGGAGTAGTAAAGTTCTATGTGAACTTTAACTTGTGAGATATTTTGCTGTGGTAAAAAGTACCTTGATTAGAGACAGAAAATCCCCATAGAATTACAGAATCATAGAATTATTTGGGATGGAGGGAACCTCAAGCATCACTTAGTTCTAACCCCTTTGCCATGGACAGGGACACCTCCCAACACACCGCATTGCTTAACGCCACACACAATCTGGCCCTGAGCACTTCCAGGGACAGAGCATCCACAATCTCCCTGGGCAACATGTTCCAGTGTCTCACCACCATTACACTAAAGAATTTCTTACTAATATCTAACCTATATCTACCCTCTTCTAGCTTAAAAACATTACTTCTTGTCCTATTGCTACAAGTCCTTGTAAAAAGTCCCTCCCCAGCTTTCCTGTAGGACCCCTTCAGGTACTAGAAGGCCACTATTAGATTCCTTCCAGAGCCTTCTCTTCTCCAGGCTGAACAACCTCAAGTCTCTTAGCCTGTTCACACAGGAGAGGTTCTGCAGCCCTCTGATCGTCTCTGTGGCCCTCCTCTGGAGTTGCTCCAGGGGCTCCATATCCTTCTTAAGTTGAGGGCCCTGGAACTGTTCATAGCACTCCAGGGATGTCTCTATTAGGCAGAGTAGAGAGAGAAGAATCATCTCATCCAGCCTGCTGGTCAAGATTCTTGTGGTGCAGCCCAGAATATGGTTGGTTTTGTGGGCTGCAAGCACATGTTGATGGCTTATATGGAGCTTTTCATCAATGAACTTCTCCTCAAGACTGCACTCAACCAATTCTCTGCTCAGCTTGTAATGATGATTGGGATTGCCCTACCCACGTGCAGGATCTTGTACTTGGCCTTGTTGAAATCCATGATGATGAATCACCTCTCATGCTTGTTAAAGTCCCTTTGGATGCTGTCCCTTCCCTACAGCATGTTGACCACAGCTTGATGTTGTCAGCAAACTAGCTGAGCATGCACTCAGTTCTTCTCTCCACGTTGCCAACAAAGATGTTAAACAGTTCCAGTTCCAATACTGATACCTGAGGAGCACCACTTGTCACTCATCTCCGCTTGACACTGAGCCATTGACCACAACTTTTTGAATGCAATCATCCAGCCAAATCTTTAACCATTGAATTGTCCATCCATCAAGTGCATGCCTCTCCAAATTAGAGACAAGGGTGATGTGCAGGAACAGCTGACACACCTCCCAAGGAAAGCACCAGAATAAAATTTAAGGGAAGATAATTTGTAAGATTATCACTTCAGGAACAACTCAAATTTCTGTTACTTTGTGTGTGTGCTAAAGCTACATCAGAGTCCCCCAAAAAATTATTTGCCAAACAAGATCATGCTTACTGGTTCTGAGTAGGAGAAAGAAGCGAAAAATAATTAAGGTGGGAGTGTATGTATTGTATTTGCTCTTTTTCCAGAAAGAAAAATTCCAGCATACACCAATACAAAAAAAACCCTCTTTACTTGGTTACACTAAGCATTTTCTGTTTTGTTTAGGAAGCAAAATATCAAATGGTCAAATAAAACATGCAAGGGTAAATTAAAAGAAAGTCATCATATATTACAATATCCCTTCTGATAGTATAAGAAGAAGTTCCACCTGAGTTAGTTGGAAACTGTCCGTGTGTTTTCAACAGACACAGCCAAACCAAGTGCTTGTTTACAGTTTTGTGCAGGAAGGAGTTTCATTTTCAGCATTGGTGTCACTGTTGCAGAGATCTCTGCTATTGGCTTGAGAGAAACTTGTGCAACAGACCCATATAAACCCCTTCTAGGGACATACTCACTGTCTATTGATGCAGACATGAGGATGTGGACAACTTTGTGTGTGGCCATGTACTTCTTTGGAGCAAGTAAGAATCAGTAGAGCCCTGACATCTGCTCTGCTGCAGAGAGAATGTAGCATTCTTGGTTTCACTGTGTTTTTGTTTGTCTTATAGGAGCTAAAATCACCCAAACTCCAGATCTTGTGTTGAAGGAAGATAAGCAAGCTACTCTGACATGCAGTCAAAATGACAATCATAATTATATGTTCTGGTATCTGCAGCAGCCAGGGAAGGGGCTGCAACTGATCTATTATTCCTTTGGTGCAAACGACGAACAAGAGGGTGACATTCACATTGGATACAAAGCTAAACGATTAAACACTTCAGACTTCCGTTTGGATATTGCATCTGTGAAGATGAACCATTCTGCTGTCTATTTCTGTGCCAGCAGTCAGAACACAATATTTGAAAGTCATTTGCTTTCTTTACATAAACTTCTGTCCTTTTCAGCACCTTCCCTCAGAAGGGAGCAGCTCTCAGCACAGGAAAAGGGTACCTGGGCCAATAGCTTACTTGCAAAGCAGATGTTGCCAAGGAGCTGCAACAAGAGGCAAAATAGGTCTTTGGAGTGTAGGCTAATAGCTGACCTCTTCTTTTCTTATCAGTAATTTATTCTCTATCTCATGAGAACAATCAGTGAAGTTATTTAACCAAATGCAGACATGAAATAAGGGAAATGGAAACTACAATCTACACAGCCACAAATTATTGGCCCACTATGCCATTTTCTTACCTGACACATAACATTTACTTGAAATACACATATGCCTAAGATTCAAATACTTCAGAGAGAGTGACTTCAGGGCACTGGGCAAATGGTTGAGGGAACTGGGACACACATGGTGCTTTCTTCTATTCCTTCAGTGGTGGGAAAAACTGAAAGTAACAGGAAAACACAACTGTGTAACACATGGCTCAGAGGCTGGTGCCATCAGTGCAATTTGGGGTTCTTTGACAACGGGTATTTTCACATGGCACCAGGTGTTCCGGCCAAAAGTGGAGTGGAAGTGTCACCAAGGGGAAAGATAGAAGATTCTTAGCCAGGAGTTAGTGGGGCTTGTTCAGAGGGCTTTAAATAAGGGTTGAACGGGGAAGAGACCACTCTTCCACCCCAGGCCCACTACAGATGAGCCATGGGGTGACAAGAGGGTGAGCATTAGCAGGGGTCATAGGCAGGCCTTTGAACTAGATTCAAAAAGGGGATGGGCAAGTAGGATGGTGTGCTAGTGCCATCTCAGTTGAGATGGGGGATAGAGATATAATGGGAAACAAAGAGGCAAGGGTTATTGATGGTTGAGAAACCATGGAAACACCTGAGAAGGGTCAGGTAGGAATTAGGGCCATGCCCACAAAGAGGTGATGGGATCCCTAGGCCACCTGAAGTGCATCTATACCAATGTGTGCAGCATGGGCAACAAGCAAGGGGAGCTGGAAGCCATGATGCCACAGGAAAAGCTCACGTGACTGGAGTGTCACGACTGATGGCTACAAGCTCTTCAGGAGGGAGAGCCAAGGAAGGAGAAGTGGTGGGATGGCCCTGTATATTACAAATTGTTATGAATGTCTAGAACTCAAATATAGTGACAAGGCTTAGGCAAGGCCAGCAAGGCTCATATTGCTTTGGGAGTCTGCTATAGACCTCCCGACCAGGGCAGTGAGGTGAATGAACTCTTCCATAATCATCTGGGTGAAGTCTCGTGGTCATTTGCCCTTGTTCTTTTGGGGGATTTCAACTTGGTATCTGGTGGTATAACAACACAGCAGAGAGGGAGCAGTCCCAGAGGTTCCTGGAATGTGTCCAAGATAACTTCCTGACACAGCTGGTGATTGAACCAACCAGGCAAGGTGACTTACTCGACCTGCTCTTTCTGACCAGGTAAGGGCTGGTGGGGGGTGCAATGGTTGGAGGCTGTCTAGGGTACAGCAACCACGAATTGTGAACAGTTCTCTGTTGTTAGAGCCAGGAGGGGGAGCAGCAACACTGCCACCTTAGACTTGCAAAGCCAAACTTGTTCAGTAGCCTGATTGCCAGAATCCCTTGGGAATCAGTTCTGGAAGGTATAGGGGTCCAGAAAGGCTGGATGCTCTTCAAGAAGGAGTCTTGAAGGCACATGAGCCCATGTGCTCTAAGGTGAGCTGGCGGCATAGAAGACCAGCCAGGCTGAGCATGGAGCTTTGGCTGGTGCTCAGGGAGAACAAGAGGCCTTTGAAGGAAGGGTCAGGCCACTCAAAAGGACTGTAAAAATGCTGTGAGTCTCTTCAGGGAGGGAATTTGAAGGTCCAAAGCCCAGCTAGAAATCAATCTGGCCTCTATGGCAAAGGAGAAGAAGAGCAACATCTACAAATCCAATGCCCTAAGCTAGAGACCCGGGACCAGGAGCAGAATGAGTCCCGCACAATCCAGTAGCAAATGGTTGGTGACCTCTGCACCATGTAGATGTGCACAGATCTGTGGGGCCAGATGGGGTGCACCCAAGAGTGCTGAAAGAGCTGGTGGGAATACTCACCAAGCCACTTCCCATCATTTATCAGCAGTCCTGGCTGACTGGGGAGGTACCAGCAGACTGGAAATCAGCCACTGTAACCCCATATATAAGAAGGGACAGAAGGATGATCCAGGAAATTACAGGCCTCTTATTCTGACTTCAGTACCAAGGAAGCTGATGGAGCATAACATCTCGAGTGCCATTGTGCAGTACATTCAGGACAACCAGGTGATCAGGCCCAGTCAGCATGGGTTCATGAAGGGCAGGTCCTGTTTGACTAACCTGATCTCCTTTTACGACAGGGCGACACACTTATTAAACAAGGAAAGGGCCGTGGCTGCTGTCTACTTTGAC